CCAGAGTGAAATAAATATTAAGTTTATAATGGAATTAGAACAGAATAAGAACGTAACTTTGTGGATATTCAACTTACTAGGTAAAATGGTAAGCGAGGCAGATATGTTTATTTTTTCGTAAATGAGTAGGTTTTAGAGATAGGTTTATTGTAAACCAGTAAATACTGCTTATATTATGAATTTGCCCCTTGACTGACGAGTTATGACTGGTAGTTTCTTAACCTGACATGCAAACGTACAGACTAACATTTTATCATCTTAACCAGGGTCACTTACGGACTTACGCAATTTCCGCCATACTTCACCTCAGGTTGTTGAACCCTGATGACTCGAGCCTGGCATTAAACTGTTCTGTGATTATTTTTCATTTATAATCAGGCTTTCTGGAATTACTCTGATTTATGGCTTTTGCAAGAGTATTCCACTTCTGGTGGCGTCTGTCAAATGTACTTATGGACGAAAGTCTAACCTGTTATCATCCGAAACGAAGGAATACTGCGTCAATCTGAATGTCGTATTAAAGCCAAATAAAAACTGAAAAACTGCGATCGGCTGTCGTCTTCTGGTGGGGTCAACCTATAAATCTCTCCATTATACAATTTCGTATGAAATAAAAGTGTAATTTTATCACAAGAGATTCATCGAAATCCAGATACTTTTAGCATATACCATTTATCTCTTTGACGAGTTGATACTTGGTGTTAAGACTAGCTAGACAAACTTACGAAGCCAATTAAAATGTTGGCGATAATTTGGGCAATACACCAAACCCACGATCCCAAGCTGGATATTATCATGACTATTACGTAGAGGTCTCTGCATAAGGTGGGTTCATCGAGAACACCCTGACAACACGACCAAGTTGATTAAACAATTTATTCTTACTCAACTTCATACCAACTATAAGTAGCTCTTGAATAATAGTTACATTCCTCCTAGGTCGCATAAGGTGATGCAGGACTGATAGTTGCATTTTCCCACAATGATATAAGTAGGTCCCACGTTTCCCTTGGTCAAAACGGCAGTCTACTCTGGATAATAATGCCTTTTAGAAGGAAAGGCTAAATGAAATTCAATGGCGTTGTGGGGCTTACTCAAAGGATTCTGGGAAAATTCAACTGTTAGTTTTTCATCATTGTATGTGACCCAGGATGAATAAAAAAGCTCTTATTCGAAATCTTGGAATGTTTTCACGTGAACCGAAGAGGGATTTCTCAAGAACTGCATCGGCCTTAAAGTCCCAGTATAATAAAAGGGCAGCAAATTTGGGAAAATGGACCGTCGTCAGATTGACCTACAAAACTTTTTATACCACCTATCCTACGAAATAATAGTCCATATAATATTTTATTATTCTGGTTATGCATAAATTCAGTTATCTATCTTGCGATTATATTTGACAGGAAGTATTCTACAGCCGCATAAACCTAAGAAACGATAGGCCCCGTTTTAATCCTGCTGGCTGTAAGGTTCTTGCAGATTTCTAATGTGTGGTTCAGAACAATAAAGATTCATTCATTGGGTGTTCCTTAGTCTGCCCAAACAGGACTAGTTGATTGATTTTAAAGCTACAAAAATATTTTTGAAGTATACTCTTAATTAAACTGTTATTAATTTTTGTACAAATAAAATGTAAAGTAAGATTTATTGAATAGCATTGTCAAACATCACCAATTCAATTAGTTTTCCACAATCCCAGCCAACTCAGTTCTCCTTTGCTCGCTTTTATTTTTTGAACTTAGTTGCGAGGACTAACCATGCAGCAACTCTGGAAAAACCGGTCTCCTCTCCACGCCAGTCGGTCTTAACAACGGCGAACATGAGCTGCTTAGAGAAGTCACTGCTTGAGACCGTCGATAGTGAAGCCCAAATTGACAGAGCTGTCAGCTCCATCAATCTCGCCTCAACAGCGAAGACGATAGTCTCGTCGACGAATTCCTTTCTAGGCAGCTCCTACAATGTCTCCAGCTTCTCTCCGGCCCCTAGCAACGTTAGCAGCCTTGGCAACACATCAGCCACTACCACGGCTGTCTCACATGGTGTTTCAGGTCTATCGTTATCCTCTGATAAGCCGGAATGCATGCCACTTCTGTCGCTTCTAGTGGAGAACACCACTCCACCACTCCAGCTGGGAGAAGAAGCAAGAGACCCAAAAGAACCCAGCTATCTATCGGCTTCCGCCACAGCAGCAAATAGCCCCATAACAAAGATGAGTAGACCGACAGAATCTAATCTTATGGATTTGCCAAACAGGCCGGACCAAGAGGGGCTAATATCTGTGGTCGGAGTCTCTGGGGCAATGGAAGCAAGTGGGCTGGATATCCAATGCAGCCAGCGTAGGGGAGCTCCGCTGGGAGACAGGAGCATAGAATACAACTACAGACAAATCGGAGCCCCTGTAGAAATCGACTCTACGCGACCAGGAAATTTCCACTCCGCTTCTTATTACGTAAGACGATTGTGTGAAAGAGGTTTCAACTGAACATAGTGGGCTATAACATGGATCAACTAGATTTGCATATTTTTTTTATGCAGTACAATGTCTATGGTGACTAGTTAAGCTTCACCTGACAAACTCTGAATCCTACCATATTTGCCAAAAGAGTGGTACGAAGCAATGAAATAAGGAAGATGCAAATATTTTATCATATTTGATTGAATGCGCTTGTGGGAAAATTTAAGTCAGCCGTTATGTGCCTAGCTCACAGAAAAAAATGTTGCTCCCACTAAAGCGCTGTTACTTAATAATGAGGTAGACTTTTTCAAGTCTGCGATCAGAAAGCCATGCCTATACTTTCTGAGTATACCGATCTATGACCAATCTATTGGAATGTGCACAAGTTGCAATTTTATTCGACAAAAGGTCATATGGTTGAATAGACTGATAATAGAATAAATGTTCCGGTCACCCTAGGTCACACAAATAAGAGAAGGAGTGATACTTCATTTTTATGGCAATGATATGAATATGCCTCAAGGTATCATTCAACTTCACCTAGCCTTTCTTCTCAAAAAGTATTCTTATCCAAGGTGGACTGCTGTTTCGACCTCGCCTAGGTCTTTGTGGTAGTCTCAGAGGGAATCATATCATTGTGGGAAAATTAAAATATCAGTCCTTCATCCCCTTATGCGACCGTGAGTGACTGGAATGCTTATTCAATATTTACCAATAGTGTCGAAACCTAGTATATATCATTATAGACTGGTAATTATTTGCAGAAATGCAGAAATGAGTTCTATAGGTAATAGAAACTTGAGGCATTTGTAGTGCTCAGTGCCCATTGATTCGGAGACCCTCCTACTAGTTTGTATTTTTTCACATTTTCGCATAAATAGTTACTTGAAGGCTTTTGTCAGCCTCTCAGACGAATGCAGTAAAATCACCCTCAACATGTAAGTACTGACGGTTTTTAGGCAATCTCAAATACAGAGTAATTTGATCTTGCTTTAGCCAAGGTGGCAACTATCTTCTCACCTTCCTAAGTGGGATGACCTTAAGCCACTTTAGGTAATGGAAATGAAAGTTCGCTTATCCCTTGCCACACAAAAAGAGCTCTCATTCGGTTTGGACACAATTAGACTGCGACGGGGTCTGATCAACACCCTCAAGCGGCAACTTTATCACTCTGTCACACTTAGCTCAATTGTGTAACAAATCATATACGCCATTTTTGAAACACCTAAAAATGAAATTCATTGTATAAATCAAGAACTCTCCTCAATTTACCGTAGGCAGGCACGCCATCAGACCGGCAGAAAACCAGACATAACATATATATAAGTTATTTGACCTTGTTTTCGCAACATGGTCAGATTGGTACGAAAACTTAGAGGAACGCACCTAGTCCGGAGTCCATTGTCTGCATGATCATTTCTTAAGTTGAACAGTGGACGTGGTGCATTCCCAAACGTTTCTCCGGCATCGTAGTCGGCATCGTCAGTGAGTATCGCCATTCTTAGCACCATACAACAACTCGACAAAGAGACAAATGAAGCCGATCCTTTTACCACTGAAGATGCCGACTACGATGCCGGCGAAACGTTTAGAAATGATCATGCAGACAATGGACTCCGGACTAGGTGAGTTTCTCTAAATCTTCCTACCAATATGAGCATGTTGCGAAAACAAGGTCAAACAACCTCTATACAACGAAAAGATACTGCGACCACACAAAAGGCAACACTATCTTGGTCTTCATACCTTCGATAACTGAGATACTTTGACAAAAATCGCTCTTGTGATAGTTTTGAAATAATTACTTTTATTAAAGCAAATCAGCTGCATATTCGAGAGTAATGGCCAGCAAAAGATTGCCTATTGGTGTGAAGTGAGTCAATCTTACTTTGCTATGGAGTTCGGATGTGTTAAGTGATATGAATTAGCTTAGATTGAGTGGCATAGGGACAAAAATACTTGCTTTTAAAATCGCACTTCCACATTTAGAATCTGGCTGGAAGAGTGGATGAGATATGAAAAGGTGGAAATTCCAGTCTATCCCGAATGAAACTAACCTTATAAGGTGAACATCAAAGCAAAATTCTCTCTACACTTCAGATAAGGAGGAAAGCTTTCAAAAGGAATATAACTCGGCAAAAATTGGCAAGCAAGATAACAAGTAAAAGAAGTAAATTCTCCTAAGATTAAAACTCTTCTTTAGATGGAAGGGATGATATGATAAAGCCATTTGTTTCATAGGTTGATTAATGTTGATGAATATCATTAAGTTCTGTTCCATTTGGAGTATAAGTATGGAATGGAGAGATTCGAAGATTGACGGATTCTTGCTGGCCAGCTGACGGTTATGTTGGCGCTGTCCCCAAGTTCAAGTCCGGAGAATGTATATCTAGCTTTCTTCCATCATATGACGTTCATTCACAGCTCAGAGACTAACACTCAAAGCCACATTTAAGCCGACGAGTGAAGAAAACTTACTGAAGTATTTCTACCATTAAGTGATTTATTTATTTCATAGCACATGTGTGAATGTATGTTTGTATGTGCTAATGCGCCTTCATATGTAAATATCTGTAAAAAAAACAGCGGCGGTGGCCAAAAGTAATTAGAGCAGAGTATAGCCTCTCTCAAGGCTTAGTGATTACCCATTTTTCATACATATACGTACACATGAAGACACATCAACATACATAAATATACACGCAAGGCTACCTCTAGCTTGAGATATGACTTGAACTAATCAAATCACTTTTCACTCCCAAAAACTGCAACAAATGCACATGTGAAATAATCTTGCGAGCTTTCTTGACATGTTAGCTTTACTATGCTTTCAGGAATAATACCTGTCCTGGCGTTGTCTGTTACGTGACAAGAGATGGTCTACCACGTTTTCACCTCGGAGACGTCATCAACAAGAATGTTTCAGGCGTCTATACTGGGTTTTGATTGATCTCCGGAGGTAATATTATTGCTTGGACTTTCATTTCGTATGAAAGTGCATGAAGAAGAGATTCGAAGGTCGATCTCACCAGAAGAGGACGGTTGAATCCCGCTGTACTGCAGTCGTTTGGCTTTTATACGACGTTGACATCGACGCAGTCCACGAGACCTCCATCATCAGAGCTGGGACTCAATCTTGTAAAATTCTCAACTCTTAGTGTTAACTTGAGGCTTTTACAAGAATGAGTCCCAGCTCTGGTGATGTTCATCATATGATGGACGAAAGCTCAGCCTGTTTTCACCTGAAAAGAGGGAAGAGGTCTCGTGGACTGCATCAAACTTAGCTCGTAAAAAATCCAAACGGCTTTAGTACAACGAGATTCAACCGTCCTCTTCTGGTGAGATCGACCTTCGAATCGCTTCTTCATACACTTTCATACGAAATGAAAGTCCAAACAGCGAAAAGAGACTGCATTCAAACGAAAGACCTCATCCCCTGGGTCGTCTTATCTTTTCAATTTAGTTCATATGTTTCAGTTCATTCTGAGCCTTTATTAGCTCTGTTTCCCTACCAAAGCGTGGCCAAAGGTGCAGAATGGAGAAGGACTCCCTAATCTAAGTACCAGTTTTCCCTACTTTTGGCATGAGTGACGCCATGATTGCATGGCCTCAGACTTACCGAACCTCATTTTTGCTCTCATCTCTCAAGGGTTTCCATGTAATTGATGCCTACTCTCGGAGCCCAGCTGACCGGCCTCTACAATCGCAAGACTCGGGCTACCAAGGGCCTGATCCGGCCTTGAGTGGCTATTCGGCCAGCTACCCGGAGACCTCAGGCATCAGGGAAACCAACTATTCCTGCGCTAACTTGTACACAGTCACATGCCCACCCACCGAAGAGTGTCCCTCTGCGAGTGGCTGCCTGCCGGAGGCGGAAACCCGTATTCACTCGTTGCGGCAGCCTCAACAACAGCATTCCAGACAAGGCACCCTGTCGCATCTTCATCAACGAGAACAAGCGCACACGCAGTCAGACGTCGGGCCTCAAACTGCAGTGAATTGTTTGCAGGAATCTAGGCAAACTAATTTCGTTAACCTGCTGGAGACCGAAAAGTCCGGGTCACACACCGCATATCCGCCAAACCAGCCTCTCTCCACTTGTCTGGCTGCCATACCCTTTATTCCTGCCTACACTGCCCATCACTCCATACAACCACACTCCGTCCAGCTGACTCAGGAATCAGGTAGTGATCATCGTCTGTCGACCAAAGAAGCAAACTTCCCACCTTCCGGTCACTTGCAGGCTGGGAGGGCATCTCCTCCACATAACTTTGTCCTCGAATCCCATTTAACGGTGGGTCCTTTG